AACCCTAAACCCCAAACCCATAGCTCAACCAAGGCACAGGGTTCGATGCTTCTAGCGGGTCGAAGCGTGCCGGCCTGAGACAAAAACCCTTTTTTACGCATAGGCCAAAAAGTAGTTCCTATAAGAGCCCAGGAGGAGGCCATACCTCAAAACCCCTTTAAAACTTTCATAATAGTACCCTAAACCTCATAATACCTCTGATAAAAAAAACCTTTTTGGGCTTCTTATATAGAATCCTATAAGGTAATCCCAAAAAGGAACTTCTATGGGGCGCATGGGTAGAGTGTCCTGTCGGGTTGTGTAAGCTTTAGGACGTTTAAGGGTTTAGGGCTGAGGTCTTTCAGGGTATAGGGGTTTCGGGATTTAGGGCTTCAAGGGTCTAGGGGTTTAGGGAGTTTGTAGAGCTTTTTTATGCCTACCGGGTCTGCAAACTGGTTCTATTCGGGCTTTTCAGGCGGGTTTATGAGGAGTAGACTCTGAATCGTACAGAGAAGGTCTAGGCTTACAGAACGCACGGTTTAGGGTTTAGGGTTTAGGGCTTAGGGTTTATAAGGTTTATATAGTACTCAGGACTGAGGATTTAGGTGTACAGGATTTAGGGCCGGGAGTTCCGAACAATGAGAGACCCCAACATGGGGATGACCTAGTTGCCTGAAGCCACCAAGTCACTCTAGAGAAAATAGATTTCTTCAGTCCGGCAAAACTTCAACGTAATAAGGGGCCTTAATACTCATAAGAATAATAAGAAGAATAGGGCTTTAGGGCCCGTTATCCTATATTCATAATAACGAACCTGCAGAATATGATGGGTATTTATTTAGGCCAGAATATTAAAGATTTCAAGTTGAAGAGAGAGTAATGCAAGGGCTTAAGCCAAAACAGTTTAGAATAGGGCTTGGCGGGTATGTTGTGGTAAAACTGCTACTACATTGGCATGCTACGGCTAATGATATAAGCCCTGCATTGCCCAGAATAAGGAATATACCATAACTCCCATTGTTTAGGGCCCCTAAGGGAATGCAGGATTTGTAGCATCAGCCGTAGTGCTAATGATGCCGACCCCCATGTTGCTCTCTCGAGCTTAAGGTGGGGTTACATTGCTCAGGCTTTGGGGCTGTGGTTGTGGTTAGCGTTTAGGGTTTAGGGTTNNAGGGTTGAGGGTTTAGGGTCTAGTGGACTTGCCGAGAGGTTAAATTATTGAGTTTGTGTTTTGCGGGGTTCTCGTTTAGGAATTTCAGTTCAGATGACAACAAGGGAAGACCATCGTTCACTATAGCCACTATATGTGACGACTACGGTAGCTTAAGATTAGGTTCTTTGCCAAGAGCAAAGCCGTGGCCTAATGCAGACTCCTGATAAACACCCCACCCCCCCCCCCCCCGGCCCCTCATTTCGCACGGATCATGTGAGAGGGCTCCTAGCATAAGTGCCCGTAAACGAAGGGGTGTATAACGAGTAAACTTTATGTACATAGATCTTGGGTTTTGAGCTTCCTCTATAGGGGCCGGAAGTATTAGAATAGAGTCCTCGGCTTTGGGGAACAAGTTGCAATATAAAAGCGCAAAGACACAAGGGATACCCTAAACCCTAAACC